GGAAGCTGTTCCAAGCACACACACAGAAAGCAGAGGGGCTTCCTCTGCAAGCCACTCCTACCGCAAGCTCTGCTGCTCTTTGCAGGCCCCWATAAACGGGTGTCGTTGTGAGCCTCTCATAAATAAACTGGAGAATCAGCTGGAGGCAGCGGTGGAAGAGATGAAAGCCGAGTTTGGGACAGTGCAAGACAAGATGAACGTTAAGCTGGGCCAAATGGAAAGCAAGACTCAGCATCAAGTAAGAACGTGACTCCAAGGTCTACTTGTCCATGTGATTCTTAGAAATAAATCCTAAGATTAGTGAATGTTTTCATTGTCACTGTCTATTTATTGCTTCTTGTGTTGTAAAAAAAAAATGAAATGTAATATTCAAGACCTGGGAACTGTGACAGACTACAGGGATCTAATGATACTAAATAGGGTCTTGAGCAAAAACACATTTAATTTCTAAGTGGCTTCAGGCATTTGGTTAGACAATAAATCTAACTGTTTGAGGCTGTAAGAAGGAAACTAAAGACAGAATGTAGTCCTACAGCTGATGGATTTATAGCTGTAAAATCCCTCTTGTTGAGCTCCTTTGCACTGCAGCTCTAAATCCTTTATATTACTTTTTTTAAGCTTTTTTTTATCAGATAGATGATTCTGTGACGGCAGCTTTTTGTAAGCTACCTGCACTTGTAGTGCTGATTTGTAAGGCTGGAGGTGAGTCTTTTTGCCGAGTTTTCCACACGCTCATTGCAGCTGGGCTTGGCTTTTCCCGCAGCTCCGCGTTCTGGACAAGCTCATGGGCGAGCGGCTCTCGGCCGAGCGAAGCGAGTGCCTCCATCGCCTGCAGCAGCACGCGGAGCTGCAGAGGAGCGAGGGGCACAAACGGCAGGTACCGGAACGGGGCCGAGTTGCTTCAAACAACACCTTAGTCCCGGCCCCAGCTGCTGTCCGGACGCAGCTGGCAGCGCGTCGCGTTGGAAATGCAGCGCGTCGCGTTGTCTCCCGCACCGGCCTCGCTGCTCGTGGCCCCCGTGCGCGTCCTGCGCCGTGTGGCAGAGCGCGGCCCGCGGCCTTGCAGCCTCTTCCTTGCAGGTCTCCCTGGTGGACGAGCTGAAGACGTGGTRCACGTTGAAGATTCAGAGCCTGGAGCTCAGGCTCTCCGGCGAGTGCCGCTCCTCGCGGATCAAGTCCACGCTGTCCACGTGCGAGTCGCTGCCGGAGACGCTGGACACGGAGACCAACGCACAGAGCAGCCGGGAGGGCCGGGCGGCCGAGGGCTCCCCGCGCCGCCATGGGGGCTCTGGTACCATCCCCGCCGCGCCGGAGCTGATGATATATGTTTATTATATCTATAATTATATATGTGTGTATTAAAAATACATTTTTATTTTGCAGGTACGGAGGCAGAGCTCAGTGTTGCTGGAGCAGCCTCCTGCCCCGCGCCGCCCCAGGCCGTCAGGCCCAAGGACAGAGCTGCCGCCGGCGGCACCTTCCCGCGGTGCCAGCAGGAGCCGCCCGCGGCCCCGGAGCCCGCGGGGCCCCGGCTCCGGCACGTGAAGGTGCAGGCCGCGGCGGAGGCCGAGGCGGCGCCGCGGGGCTCCCGCGTGGACAGGGCCACGCAGACGCGGCCGGGGC